ACTCCCTGGGTCTTACAGACAAGCGCCAAGGGCTACCCCCTGGTCTTCCATGTAAGTATCAAAAAGACAACTATATATACTACTCTACTAGGCTACTCAGCATACAGTGTGCCAAGAGCCACCTCCTGGTCTTTCATACATGTTGCCTAGGGCTAACCCCCGGGTCTTCCTACCATACATAATAGCATACTGTGTGCCAGGAGCCTCCTCCTGGTCTTTCATGCATAAAGCCTTGGGCTAACCCCCGGGTCTTCTTACCATACATAATAGCATACTGTGTGCCAGGAGCCTCCTCCTGGTCTTTCATGCATAAAGCCTAGGGCTAACCCCCGGGTCTTCCTACCATACATAAACTAAATGGGCCGACATTGTGGCCGTAGACCCATACAAACAGTGAGGAGACTCACCTCGATGTCGTATAGTGTCAGCACGATCCTAGGCACGGAAATCAGCTCGTCTCAACTCTTCAATCCCTACACAACAACCCTTCTCGATTACTAATTCATAATCATAACCCTCTTACAAGAGTCAACCCAAGTCCAAGCCAAAAGTCAAGGTCAAACCCTGGTCAAAGTCAACATCCAGTTGGCTCGACTCGCCGAGTTGGCCCGCCAACTCGTCTAGTCCCCTTTTCCATAAACTGTTAAAACCCCGATTCTACCTGTCGAGTCCAGCAACCACTCGACGGGTCCTTCTTCACCCATAACATCGGGACCATCTTCAACCGACTCTCCGAGTTCATCCTTGAACTCGTCGAGTTCATCTCCCTCATATGAACGTGTTCAGTCTATGACTCGTCGAGTTGTATGAACAACTTGTCGAGTCCATCTTCATGAGTTGGGAGATTGCCTTGGACTCGCCGAGTCTGTTCATACACTCGCCGAGTCCTATGATTTCCAGGTCCAAGACAAACCCCTAGCAGGCTGAGTGTTCCTTCCACTCAATCTACACCATTTCCAGAAGACGTTTTGGGGGAAAAAGCGTCCCGACTCGCCGAGTCACCCAAGTGACTCGCCGGGTCCCTCTTTGTCCAAAACTATACAGTCAATTACAATGGGTCTCAATGCATCAAAACCATATATCTGACCTCCTAGGGTCCATTTCACACGTAAAGTTCCAATCTTGACGTCCATGCATGGGGTTTTTGGCTCAAAAGCCATAAAAGAGGTATATATATGAAGCATGGGTCTCCCATGGCCATAAAGTTGGCACCTTTATGCCATGGGAACCCTCAATGGTTCCAGATCTGAAGCACAACCCACTTATGCACACAATTCCGACTATAGCTTCACTAAGGCTTAGGAAAAGGTAGAAAATAGCCCCAAATCAAGATCTAAGCAAAGAATAGTCAAGGTTTCAGCTTTATACCTCAAGTGAGCTGGAATTGGGGCACAATCTCTGGATCTACTAACTTCCACTTGAACTTCCAAGCTTCCTTCTTTTCCTGCAACTTCTAATACACACAAAAGGCACCAAAAATCTCAAGAACACTCAATAATGGCTTAGGGTTTCGAGTTAGGGTTTCTCTAGGTTGGGAGGAACGATGGAGGCTGGGTTGAGGCAAGAAAAGTTGTTTAAATAGGGTGCAAACCCTGAACATTAGGGTTTTGTCTAGACAGCTTCTACTCGTCGAGTCGGTTCCCCGACTCGTCGAGTAGGTTACTAAAACTCCCGCATAATGTCGAGTCTACTCGATGAGTTGGGCCTCCAACTCGCCGAGTCCTATAGTAAATCCCAATATTTCTTGAATTTGAAAACGTACCAAGAACCGGGCGCTACACATTAAGAGGAATGGATAAGAACCTAGAAGTCAAAGATGACGAAGCTTGTTATCTCATGAATTGGATTTGGATACCGAAGTTCGAGGGATTCAGAGACGTCAGCATGAACGAAGCACACAAAACTCGATACTCCGAACACCCCGGTTCGAAAAAGATGTACCTGGACCTTAAGAAACTCTACTGGTGGCCAAACATGAAAGCCGAAATCGCCACCTATGTGGGCAAGTGTCTGACTTGTGCCAAGGTCAAGGTAGAATACCAGAAGCCTTCAGATTTACTACAACAACCGATGATACCCGAATGGAAGTGGAAGTGGATAACCATGGATTTCATAACCAAGTTACCCAAGACAGCGGGTGGTCTTGATACCAATTGGGTAATCGTCGATAGATTGACCAAATCTGCACACTTCCTCCAATTAAGGAAACCGGCAAGATGGAAAAGATCGTCCAAATACGGGAAAGACTGAAAACATGTCGAGATCGACAAAAGAGCTACGCAGATAAGCGACACAAACTTTTGGAATTCCAGGTTTGTGAGCGAGTACTACTGAAGTTCTTACCATGGAAAGGAATGATACGTTTTGATAAACATGGGAAACTAAATCCAAGGTACGTTGGGCCGTTCGAAATCCTTGCCAGGATTGGCCCAGTGGCATACAAACTTCGACTACCACAAGAACCTAATAATGTACATCCGACCTTCCACGTGTCAAAATGCTAATTTCGGGACGAAATTCTTTCTAACGGGGGGATGATATGACAACCGTCAATTTTTGGTCAAGACAAAGTCAAATAAAGTCAACAAGTCAAACCGGTCAACTCATCTAACCCTTGTATATTAGGGTTTACAATATGTTTTCTATTGTACAAGGCACCATTTTAATACAAAGTATCGCTTATAGGTTTCATGTGTTCAGGAAATCTAAGCCCTAATCAGAATAAGTGATGTAACGACTCGATAAAACACAACTACATACCTTACGGGGGCATATAACACTCATAATAAGGCTTATCGAGGTTTACAAACCTTGCATTACGAGGCTAAACACTAACAAAAGTCACAAACAAAGTCTCTCTCAATCTCTCTCGCTATCTCTCTCTCTCTCTCTCTCTCCCAAATCTCTCTCAAAATCTCTTTCAACTTTTCATGAACACCCGAGGCATCCCGACCCTTAACATAGTCAAAAACCACTCGAAACGGGAAGATTATGTGAAAAACAGCCTTATAGGGCCGAACCTTCTTAGGAACTGAAGCCTCTCCTAAGAACCGAAACTCCCCATAAGACCGAAACCACTTGAGGATCGAACACCCCTTCACCTCGGATCAACCTACCTTCAGTTCGCATCAAGGCTCGCTTCCCACCCAACGAACCTCGCCTGCGAGCTTTCTCAGACCGAACATATCTTCGGTTCTCAACCCTTATTGGACCGAACTTTCGGTTCTGACCCCCAGAACTTCGCAAGTTCGCTTCTCCTTCCGGGTTTTCGACTACTTTCGCTTCTTAAGCTCGTTTTTGATGATTTTGATGGAAATTTTTCACCCAAACTCATATTTCAACATATTAGAACCCATAAAATAATATTTCAATCATATTTTGGGAAATTCTTGCTATAAACCATATCTTTTGTGCAAGATATTTCTCTAAAAGGGTTGGTTGACTTTTTCAAAAAGTTATGACGCAACCCATTTCCTCATACCCACTCTATGACAACTATAGGGTACTATTCCCATAGTACCTAGTCAAATAGATATCTTTCCTCCAACACTCCACCAAATTTTCTTACTCAAATCCACTCATTAAGATCTTCAACCCTCACCTATAAAATCCCAAGCACATCCTCCAAAAATACACTTTTTCACCCTCCCACTCTTCTCACTCTCTGGAACTCGAGATTCTCAAGGAAGCATTTTGCTTCTACTTCACTCTTGGTAAGTTTTTCATTCCCACTCTTGAATATTCTACACTCCTTCCTTCAAATCATGGATTTTTTATAAAAATATCGTCATATTTGTTCTTAGGATCTTCAAATCCTCGAGCATCCTCCAAGTGTTCTTGACTTGGAAACCTCTTTTCTTCCACATCCATCTCAGAAAATCACACAAGGTGAGTTCATACCCCTACATTTTCATGTTTTCTTCAAGTTTTAGGGGGGGGGGGTGGGGGAAATCAAACCATTACAAGAAACAATGCTTTTTTCAAGAAACACTTCGAGGTTCACATTCAAAATACAAGCACAACATCAAACTTTACTTGTTCAATTACAAAAAAAACATTAAAATAGAGATTTCAAGATGCTCCTTACACAACATCAAATTGAAGAAGATGATGAATTGTGTGTGAAACTGTGTGTGTGTGAGATATATATAGAGAGATAGCGAGAGAGAGAGAGAGAGAGAGAGTGTGTGTGTGTGTGTATGTGTGTGTTTGTGTGTGTGTGTGTGGAGCTTAGGATGCCCCCTACACTTCAAATCTTTTAGAACTTAGCTTGACTTTCATAGAGGGCACTCTATATCAAAGAAACACTTTCGTTGGGGAAAATACATATATCTATGGAAAAAAGTTGAACCATTAGGGGCATGTGCACCCATACCTCCTTCTTAAATCTGCTCCTGAAACCATATTACAAGCCCGAAACTATTTATTGTTGGTGAACAACACCAAACCTTCGACCTAGATTCAGATTGGTCCACGAGGTGACTATCACATATTGGCTACCACATGCACATATAACCATTTTTGGAGATCTTTGTAAGGGTGATCACAGATGGTAAAGTGCAATCAAAGAAGAAAGAAGGGGCGTTATTTATTAGTTGCACTTTGAGTTGATAGGAGAGACTTGAAATTACCTTTATGTCCTCATGTGAAGGATGCATTCGTGTGTGATAGACGTCAGACACAAACGATGTTAAGCTCGATGGACAAAAAGAGATACCAAAACCCACCATAGGGACCATTTCATGATTAAATCTCAACTAGAACCAAAAATAATGATTTGTGCAAAACCAAAACTGTATTTTACTCAAAAAACAATAAGTTTGTTATAGTAAGAAATTTAATCTACAACACATCAAGTAATTAAATAATTAAATTAAATAAATTGATAAAATTGTAAATGTTTACCCAAAATAGAAATATATGGTATAAAAACTTTCTTTACGGCGCTGTTAATTCCGTTTACGTAAAAAGCATCTCCGTGGGATCTCGATCGTTGATCCGCAGCATCTCGATCGTCGATCAGTGGGACACACTGAGAAGTGAGACGATATAATACGACGCATTGAGGCGCAGCGCTAGTCAAAACTCAAAGACTATAACCAGATCACAAAGAGTGTGAGAATTCATCTCCGAAGAAATGGCGATTACCCTCAACAGTGGTTTCAAAATGCCCATAATCGGATTGGGTGTGTGGCGTATGGAGGGTAAAGACATCAAAGATCTCCTCCTTAACGCTATTAAAATCGGGTATCGTCATTTCGATTGTGCGGGTATAATCTCTATCTCTTTCATAATTTTAGGGGTTTTGTTCTAGTTCATGTTATAATTTGATCTGTTTGATATAAACTCTTACTGATTTTAGATGATTGGGGTAGTTGAGGTTTCGGCTTCAATGATTCATTTGTATACTGGCTTGATGATATTTTACCGATTAAAGTTTGGACTCACTAGAATTTTAGGTTTTGTGTTTTGGATGTGCAATCGAAGCTAGAATTAGTTAATTAGATAATGAGAATTAGTTCTGCAACATATCGTAGTTCTAGGTTTCAAATTGCAAAGAACTTGGAATGAACACACATTTCGTTTTCACCCTTTTCCTTAATTACAAATTTACAATCATCTAATGGATACACACATTTCTTGCAGCTGATTACCAAAATGAAGTGGAAGTGGGAGAGGCACTAGCTGAGGCATTTAAGACCGGATTGGTGAAGAGGGAGGATCTCTTCATTACTACAAAGGTTTTTTCTGGTTTATTAAATGTGACAATTTTTTGCACTTTGTTAACACTTTTCTTTTGTTAAATTCAGCTATGGAACTCAGACCATGGACATGTTTTGGAAGCTTGTAAAGCAAGCTTAAAAAAGCTTCAACTTGATTATCTGGATCTCTTCCTTGTTCACTTCCCCATAGCAACAAAACATACTGGTAGTATCATTATTATTATCATTATTAACTATTGAATTATTTAAATCTTTCTTGTTTTTATTAATTTTCTTCTTATTGTAGGAATTGGCACAACTGATAGTGCATTAGATGAAGATGGTGTTTTGGATATTAACACCACCATTTCACTAGAGACTACATGGCATGCTATGGAAGAAACTGTCTCCATGGGCTTAGTTCGCAGCATTGGGATCAGGTTATAAGTTTTTATCGGTTATAATTACTTTGACTTTCATAGTCAACTTTTAGTGACTGATTTTGGTCAAAATTATGCAGCAACTACGACATATTCTTAACAAGAGATTGCTTAGCATACTCGAAAATAAAGCCAGCTGTAAATCAGATTGAAACACATCCGTATTTTCAACGGGAATCACTCGTGAAATTCTGCCAAAAACACGGGATTGCAATCACGGCCCACACCCCACTCGGTGGCTCGGTGGCTAACACTGAGTGGTTCGGGTCCGTTTCTTGCTTGGATGATCCAGATCTGAAAGTAAGTTCTATCTATTAAATTACAACTTTGGTCCTTATACTTTACACAAAATCACAACTTCAGTCCAAAATTTCAGATCCTCCGAATGCTGTCCTTGGGTTTGTGCTATATAGAATGATTTTAAATTTGGGACTAAACTTGTAATTTTGAGTAAAGCATAGGGACCAAATGCAACTTAAGTAACGCTTTTGATTTTGTTTGTGATTAGGGTTTGGCTGATAAATACAAGAAGACTGTTGCACAAGTGGTTCTTCGATGGGGAATACAAAGAAACACTATAATCATCCCTAAATCATCAAAGAAAGAGCGAGTTGAAGAGAACTTTAAAGTGTTTGACTTTGATTTGACCAATGAGGATATGGAGCTTATCAAGGGCAAGGACCGAAAGTATCGGACCAATAACCCGGCTAAATTTTGGGGTGTTGATCTTTATGCTTAAATGTGAGATTGGTTTTTAGGTGACTTTTATGAAGACCTTTTGAAGTGGACTATGTTATAATATGGTTTTTTGAAATGATGCTTGTGGTTGGAAAAATGGTAAGCAATGAAGGTTTAGGGTTTGATCTTAGTGTCGTATTTGAATGAATTATAAAATTTGAATCTAATTGGCATAACTATATTGCTGGTAGTCTGTTAAAGACTACTAAGTTGTTTTGATGATGAAAACTATAAATAAACAATGAAAAAAGAAAAAAAAAAGTTAGTGAAGAAATTAAGATTAAAGCTCTTAGTTGATGATAAAAAAAACAACTTATTTATTAATAAAAAAAACAACTTATTTATTAATAAGGTTAATGTTAAAAGGGATATGCATAGGAAAAATGACTTAATGACTTGTAATTATATTTCAAAATCATTCAAAAAATATTATCTATATTATCCAAGTTTAGTTTGTTTAAAAAACATTATACAAGTATGATTTTTATATAAAAAATACAAATGGACTAAATATTTTGTTCAAATGTCACCTTATGCTAACATACATTTATCGGTAAAAATTAATTATGAGAAAAAAAAAACAAGGGAAAATGACTTAGGAAGTTAACTACGTTTCAGAATAGTTAAAAAAACTTATCAAAGTAAGGTCTTTATACAAAAAACACCAATAAACTACATGTTTTGCTCCAATTCTTATAAGTTAAAAGACGACTTGGCATAATTATTGTGACATTGCATAATAACTAGTGATATGACATTAATTAATATATTCATCTTTTTATAAATTGATTTAGGGTTTCTTCATGAACGAATGACATCTTCTTCTCCTTTGATTGCTTCTTCTTCTACTAAATCGATGATCTCCAACTCAAGCTCACACATTTTAAAGACACAAAAGATATTTGATGATACAAACCCTTGTGGATGTGGGCATCCTTCGCGAATTTGGACATCAACTACGAAGACTAATCCTGGCAAAAAGTTTGGGGTTTGTCCAACCAAATGGTAACTTTAACTAAAAGCTTTATCATGTCTCTCTCCTATATATTTGTTTGGTTATGTGATTCATTTTTAGAATATATGTGTAAGCTTTTGCTATGGGTAGTATAACAATCTTGAATAGTATACTTTTTTGAATATGTATGCTAATTCGTAATGTGACTACAACAGTTTCTTGATGAATATTTATGCCAATTTGTAGTAAGGTGAAAATCTACTTGTTTGCATCTTGCGTAGCTACTAGTCATGACAAAACTAGAATGGATTGCAAATTATTATGCATCTTCTAATATTTACAAATTCCATTCCTTGAGCTAATGAAGGACATTTATCCCTTTGTTTTTACAAATTTCAGTCGCCCGTTCACGAAAAAGCCCTAAATTGGTTTTTAAAGGAGGATTATATAAAATAATGTCATGTTACTAATTATTATGTCATGTCACCAATAATTAGGCCAAATCATCTTTTGACCTATAAGAGTCGGTTACCAGTGGGTGACATTTGAACAAAACGTATATATTGTTAGTATTGTTTTTCTGTACCATGACCTTACTTGGATGATGTTTTTTAAATAAACTAAACTTGGATGATGTTTTTTAAACAAACCAAACTTGGATGATGTTTTTTTTTTGCAGAATTTTGAAACATAGTTACCCTCCTAAGACATTTTCTTTTGTTTTTTTTCCCTTATTAAATTTTTACTAGTAATTCTCGGTTACCATAAGGGTGACATTTGAACAAAGTAAGTAGTTTGTTGGTGTATTTTGTACAAATGCCTTACTTTGATGATATTTTTTTGAACATACCGAACTTGGATGGTGTTTTATGAACGATTTTGAAACATAGTTACCCTTATAAGTCATTTTCCCTGCATACATATGACATATATGTATACTTCCCAGCCCACACAAATGCAAACATGCACACATATGTACGTGCACATACACATATTATGTTGACAAACTATTTTTATTAGGCTACACAGAGTGGCCTCAGTTAGGACTCGATAAATCTGTGTACTCGACAAACACCGCGCCACGTACTTGGCATGCCGAGTTCAGTGGCCTAACTCGGCAAGTGTGTTCTGATGAGAGAGAAAGAGAATATTTTTCAAAATTTAAAAATAATACCTTCTTTTTTCAAATTTATTACCATTTTTTTCATAAAAATTTCAAAATTTTAACCCTTTTTCAACCATTATAAATATCAACTACCTTATTTTATAACACTCAACAACCTTCATTTTTCACTCGAACACTCTCCATATTTTATGAAAAAAATGGCTTCTTCCAATTCCCCATCCATTCCAAGAAAATTCAAGAAAAATACCCAAAACACAACCACTTCAAAACCTTCATCACCTATCTTCTTCCAAAATCAAATTGATCGCCCTATTTTTTTCACCTACTAGTTACAATTATATCGATACATACTACACTTCATATCCTATTCATACCTAACCCCAATTCTAATCTCAATCTCAATCGTAACCCCAATCCCAATTCCAATCTCAATCTCAATCTCAATCGCAATCCTAATTCCAAACTCACTCTCAACCCGAAAATCATACCCCAAACAGATTCTGAACATGAAGAGATTCAACCTTAACCATAACCCAAAAAAAAAGACACCTTCCAAGAATTGGACACTAGAGGAAGAAGTGGTGTTGGCTCATGCTGTTAGGTTTTAAAGCTTACAAAAAAAAATCATGTGACGGAAAATAACTTAACCCTTAAGTTCACATGCAACCTAATTGGATCTATGTTTTTACTATTGAAAGCTATAATCTATGAACATCAAAGAACCCTATGGAAACCCTAGTATCTTCGAAAAAACATAAATTGGTTAGGGTTTACATATCTTTTTGTTATTGTTGTAAATAACTAATGAAACTCTTCTTCAAAAGCTTTTGGAAGCAAGCACTAGAAATCTCGTGCCTCTGATGGTTTACACCCAAACCCTAACAACTAAGGAAACTTGAAGATAGAGGAGAGGGGAGGTAAATTTCGGCTATCCTCTTGAGGTAACAAGTGGCCAAAATATGAAGGGTGTAAGGCCCTTTTTATAGCTGATAGGAAAACCCTAGATAACCATTACTTGATTAAAATAATATTATTTCAAATCAGGTAATTATCTAGTTTCCTAATTATCCATATTACCTATATGGAATATTTCAGAAACCCTAATTAACCTCCTTAAAACCGTCCACCACCTTGGAAGGTTCTGGAATGTCTTTTGTTCAACTATTGAACAACTATAACTTAGGTCATTGCCCTTTTAATTAATCCAATTAATCCTAAAATTAATTCTAATTAATTTATTATTAATTATTAATTAAATAATACTATTTCTAATTAATATATTATTCTCATAATATATGAATAAATCTTTTATTGCTATTTATTAATCATATAATAAATCAATAAACCAGTCTCTCTCTCCAAAAGTCATCCTATACAATTACTAGGTTTGAGGGCAACCCAAAAGGACTTTGCTAATAATTCAAATATATACCAATTTAGTTATTGACTTAGACACCTAATCCAACAGTCTCCCACTTGGATAAGTCTATAACTACAATTTCCAGTATAACTTCTAAATTAAACAACAAAGAGTGCTTCCAAAAGCAACTCCAAACTCTGATTTGATCAGACATTAGTCCTAAGATAAGTGATCAAATGTTTCTTTGTTCTACAAGATATCATATGGACACGAGACGTGGATTAGAATCAATCTCATTGTCCAAATTTCTGTTTCCCGATTTCCTGATTTGTGATGACCTCATAAGACTTACTAATTGAACACATTAATTTAGTGTTGGATGGGCCCAACACTATAAGTCCACACCAAATCACCAGGGGGCCCAAAGATATCGCTTTTCCCGTTAGGGAAAAAGGAACGAATAAACTTTGACTCATATGCTTGCATCCTTTACTCAATAAATCATACATGACACTATGTTTTATAACACCAAGTTACTGATGCGTTTTCACAATACCAATGTACAATGGAATCATAAATTACAACTCATATATCCCCGTTTTAAGAATATAAGATATTATCGTCTCAGAATTACTCGTGATAGAATCCATAAAGTAATTCTCTAAGTGTGGGTTTATCCAATACTCTAAATCTTCATTTTTCTAAGTGCTCATGAATGTTGCAGCAACATAATTGTTATGTCTAATATCCTTAGACAATCTACAATCCAATTCATGACAATCTTCATTCACTACTTACTTCCTAAAGTATGAGCGACTATGGAGTTTCGAATAATAAAATTATTCAGGAAGTGAAACATGCAAATCGAAACACAAGAATAAATAATTGACAAAGGTAGTAAACAAACTCATAAATAATCTCTATTATTCAATCACCAAAATCAATTACATTTATTCTATTACAAGTTTCAAATTAATCATCTAACTACCAAACCTAATATTATCTCTTAAAGCAATGCTCCTAGCATGTTGACTATGTTTAACCCTACTCAGAGCCTTTGTGAAAGGATCTGTATGATTGTCTTCTGACGATACTCTCTTTACTATGAGATGACCTTCTTCAACTCTATGTATGATGTAATGGTACTTTCTGTTGATATGTCTAGATTTACCATGATCTCTCGGTTCTTTGGTCAAAGCAACCACACCTTCATTATCAACAAAAATTCTATTGGCTCCTGAATGTTCGGAACTACTCTGAGATCGCCGATGAAGTTCTTCAACCAAGCCGCTTCCTTTGATGCTTCACTCGCTGCTATATACTTTGATTCATAAGTAGATCAACCACTGTGTCATTCTTGGAACTTTTCCAAGTAACTGCTCCACCATTTAATAGGAACACCGAGCCAGATTGAGAACGAAGGTTATCTCTATCTGTTTAAAAGCTGGCATCACTATACCCACTTACTCTCAACATATCGCTACCACCAAGGACTAGAAAAAAGTCCTTTGTCCTTCGTAGATACTTGAGAATGTTCTTCGCTGCTGTCCAATGAGCTCTGCAAGGATTTCCCTGAAATAGACTAACCATGCTTAAAGAAAAAGCCACATCAGGGCGAGTACATGTCATAGCGTACATGATCGATCCTACAGCCACAACATATGTGACTCGACTCATTTCCACTATCTC